CTCTCTCTCTCTCTCTCTCTCTCTCTCTCTCACACACACACACACACACACACACACACACACACACACACACAATTTTCTACATACATTTAAACAAGCTGATGAAGCCACCCGTTGCTCTCTCACACCTTCCTTCCCTCCTTAACTGGAGCTTTCCCTCCTCCTGCTTGCAGTCACTTCCAGCAGAAGAGGTCATCACAAGCCCGATTGACTGCTGGGGGCTGTTCTACAACTGTAACCAATTAAGCAGCCTTATATTTGGTCTCTAAAAGAACTGAGGATTTACAAGTGCCACAACCAAGGAAGGAGGGAGAGGTGGCTTCCAGTTTGAGGTTCGGCTGCAGGGGGTGGGAGTGGGGGAGGGCTAGCACTCTGCTCATTACCCCCAGGATTTTAATTTTTACCCCATTTGGGGTATTCCGTGTCTAGTCATGCTCGCCACATGACCACAGAAACAAATGCTTGCTCTATGGCTTGGAAATGGGGATGAGCACCAGGCCCTAGAGTTGGCTCTAGAGTCAGACACAGCTGGACTAAATGTCAAGGGCAACCTTTACCTTTACACCTGTTCCCTGACCAGTGTACTAGCAGATATGAACACATATCCCCAGTCTTTGCATGTCTTCATTGGCTCCTTATTAGTTTCCATGCTCAGCTGGGGGTGCTGGTAAAAACCTATAAAGCCTTTAATGATTTGGAACATCAATCTCTGGCAAAACATCTCTCCCACAAAATAGCTACCAATCCCACACATTCCTTTCAGTCCTTGATGTTAAGATTTGTAACACCTAAAGACGTCAAAAAAGCCAACATGTACGTATTTTTATTTAGTTAGTGATAGGATTTTATTGTAATGTTGTATTATTTTACAGTGTTTTTACTGTATATTGTGAACTGCCCAGAGAATGGCAAAACTAATGGTGTGACATAGAAATGGAAAATAATAAATTCATTTCCCCCCTGTCTCATACTTCAGATTGTAATCATCATCGTCATCATCCTATGGCAAAGAAATTGGGGAAGTCAGCATCAAAAGAGGAATATTTCAAGGGGATTCTTTGTCACCACTTCTGTTTAACATCTCACTAATCCCAATGTCAATAATTCTAAATAAAACTGGATTGGGCCATATTTCAGAACAAGCAGGAAAAATCAATCATCTGTTATGTGGATGACCTAAAGCTATATGCAAAAAGTTCCACTTCGATAGAATCACTGCTAAACAGAGTGGGAATATTTAGTGAGGATATTCAAATGAAATGTGGAATTGACAAATGTGGCAAGATACAAAAACTAGATGGAACAAAGTTTAAAAAATTATGCTGGTATAACATCACTATCAAGTGATGAAAATCATAAATCCCTTAGAATACTAGAAGCAAATAGCATCCTGCACACAAAAGTTAAAGAACTGACAGAAAGGGAATATATCAAAAGATTGCAGAAAATCTTTAAATTTAAATTTAAATGGTGGAAATACAATCAAAGCCATCAACAGATGGGCAAATACTCAGCTGGAATAATAGATTGGACCTAAAATGAATTAGAAGAATTGGATCAAAAAACACAGATACTTATGAACATGCATCATGCACTACATTCAAAAAGGGATGTGGACAGATTATATTTACCATGAAAAATTGGAGGCTGTGGATTACTGCAAATACAGCATGTAGTAGAGGAGGAAAAATGAAGCCTAAATATGTATTCGCAAAGGCTTTCACGGCCGGGATCTAATGGTTGTTGTGGGTTTTCCGAGCTCTTTGGCCATGTTCTGAAGGTTGTTCTTCCTAACGTTTCGCCAGTCTCTGTGGCCGGCTGTCCTCTGAAGATGCCGACCACAGACTGGCAAAACATTAGGAAGTGTAACCTACAGAACACGGTCAAAGAGCCCGGAAAACCCACAACAACCATAAGCCTAAATATATTAGTATACAAAAGTTTTTACAGGGTGGTTTCAAGGAAAAATGACATACTTGTGACAAAGAATGCACTCCATCCACTGGCAGATGAAAGCCCATTCCTAGGGATTTTATGACGACGAGAATATTTGAGAGGTTTGCTCTAAGGATCAAGTGAAAGAAAACAGACATCCATTTTTAACAGATACATTAAAAAGATGTACAATGAACATTTCTCACTGTTGTGTTTACCTTGTAAAATGCAGATTTCTCAGTGCAATCCCATTCACGAGTTATTTTTTCACTGAGTTTGGCAGCATTTGCTCCTGCCTAAGGGGATGTGGCTGGTTAGACAGTGATTTAGGTATCTGGCTGCAGAACTAGAGGTTGGGAGCTCAATTCCCCACTGGGTCTCCTGAAAGTAGAGCCGGCCTGTGTGTCCTTGGGCAAGCTGCACAGTCCCAGGCCACCCCCAGAAGAAGGGAATAGTAAACCACCTCTGAGTACTCTCTAGCTGGAAGCCCATGAAAAGGGTTGTCATAAATTAGAATTACCTTGGTGGCACAGGATTATTATTTCTTAAGGAGCATGTAGGACTGCAAACTCAGATAAAACAGCATGTTTATTTTGATGAATGGATAGTGCTTGTTCAAATACTGAGAATCTGAGGTATCACAGACCTCCCTGCATCATGCTCTTATTGGCATAAGATATTTTTGGATAACTGACATTAGTGACATCTGCACTCTACACTGCATTATGCGCAACCATGTGGAGCGCCTGAAGTGCAGGAGCTCTGTATCAACAGAATAATTCTTTAAGTTATTGTCTCAATAGGAGCAAGTCTCTTTTAAGCTCATGAGTCAGTGTAAAGCTTTCAAGGTGGGCCACTGTAAAGCCATTGGCCATGATGACTGCAAAGGGGGGATCTAGAGATCATCTAAATTAAACCAAACCAACGCCCTGCTCCAAGTCCTAGTCAAGAAGTACAATCAGATGTAGACTTGCACCCCACTGCACATCCCACAGTTCTGCAGTGCAACAGCTTTCAATCCAATCTGCAGTTGAATGGACATTTTGATCTGCATTCAGTTTACTCTCAGTTCCAGTGTCATTTAATTGTATGCAGATGGAAAGCTGTCACAGGGAGGGAGGGAAAAAAGAGTAAATGATGCCCTCTTCAATTTGTCCCTCTTCTTTTTCTCTCAATTAATTTTGTCCATATTTTCCCCATTTAATTTTTTTCATGTGCCTCTCTCACACAATTTTTTTAAAAAATATTGTGTTTAGTTGATAAGTCTGGAAAATACCAAGCCCAAAAAGGGAATATAATATGTAAAAATACCTTCTGACTCTATACTTGCACAAATTAATACTAAGCATATAGAGAATAATGTTAGAAATTGCTAGTGGTTTTTTCATATGATTAACAGAAAAGAAAAGAAAATGTGTTAACACTTACCTTTTAAGCACTTTTTGAATAATATGTAAGTGATTGAAATTAAGCCACTGGACACCACCAACAACTAATATTGTCTGCCTTGTGTTCTCCAGCGGCTGTGACCTGTAATGAAGAAGAAAGCCAAAACCACAAAACAAAACAAAACTTGCCTCAGAATCAGGCCGGAATGGCAACTTTTAAAGCAGCACAGCAATACACTTTAGTGGGCCATTGCTGGCCACAAAGACCTGATGACATTTTCAGTTATATAACATGGTTCTACATATTTTAAGATTAAGCATTTATTAGGGTTATTTTTCTCATTTTCATGGCAAATATCTATCAGATTAAATTGCAGTGGGTAGTGTGTTCTATGCCAATGGAAAGAGGTTCTTTCCAGGAACACATAAGGATATTTATGTTGCATCAGCCTGAATTGCATGGTGACCTCTGCACAATTTGTTGTTTTATTCCTTGTGTCTAATTTACCAGCAATATCCATGGACTACTTTTGGCCAATGAATTTTGGGCAGAGAAAATAAGAGGGGAAGAGGACAGCTGTTTAAATCATAAGTCTCAATCCATGCAGAAAGAATGCCTTATTACATATTTGGGTTATAGTAACTGCTCCATCTTGTCAGCATTGCATCCTATTGTGTAAAATGCCTCCTAGAGATGCCACCCAGAACTCTATGATATATTTATTCCAACATTAGTACAATAGTGTAACTCACAGCGGTGAACTGCAACTAGTGAAGATGTTGCCACTCGTATTCTTTGCCATGCAATGACAAATACATGCTGCAACTGGTTAACTAGCAGCAATTTGCTACCATGATTTATGCCACTGCATTTGTGGCAGTGTAAGCAACCAGTGGGGGTATGGCCTCTGAATCTCATGCACATCCATTTTCATTTATAACTATAGAATGCTGGCACAGAGCCTCTGACTAGTAGGAAAACCAGACAATCACTGGTCAAAATGCAAAGGTACCTTGACAACAGGGCTTCTATCATACCTGACTAATAGTTGCTTGAGAGCTTCTTCAAATGTTGGTCTTTGGTGTATGCTGATCCAAAACTGGGGGTAATAGGAATAGCTAATGAATGTATTTCCATTGTTTACATTATGATAAAACTTCATGTCGTGAGCTTTTTGCCATTCTTGAAGAGTCTCGTTCACTCTCTCAATCAAGTAATACATCATTCCTCTGTTAGTTGAATCCCCAATGAAAAGAACCTTTAAAGGCAAAAACCAAAGAGCACTGAATATTTAGGCTTGTATATTCAATGGATTTATTGCTTAATACAGTACTTCAACTTTCTCCCAGAAATGGGACTCAGAACTTTAAAAACAAATTGCCTCAATTTAAGAAAATTTCCATAGACATTGGGCTAAATCCTATTGCGAAACTATGAGCACACAACTTGAGGTTATAATGCCTGGCACGTTTACATTATGTCAGCATCAACAGGATATTGGCCATTATCTGTTGCAGTTCGCTTCCAAAAGTTAAGCCTTTTGCAACAGGATTTCAGCAAGTACCACTAGAGTATTAACACACGATTGAACAAGTAACGATGTTCAGGAAAAAATGCATTCAAACCATCTTAAAATTTTTGGCAGTGTTAATGGAATGGAAGCAGTTTAAATCTACTCTCTTTGGATTCATCGTGTTTTAGATTGGGGATATATTCTATAAATAAATGACAGCAATTTGCCTTGTGCAGGATCAAAAGGAACACAGGTATGCACGCCTACTTTTCTGGTATTTTTGTCCCAGTTCTAATTCTGGCAGGGCGAAAAAGGCCCGGGAAACATATGTTCTGTGATCTGAGACTGCACTTTGTCCTTAGCACCTGTTTGGTTTGAAAACAACAGGCTCAAACAGAAGGAAAGGAAAAGCATGGCTAAACTAAAGAAGTGGGACAGGGATTCAATAGTCACACTGCACATCAGCTAAGGGTGAATGCAGTAACACAAGAGTCATCATGGCTGCATAAAGCTGAGGTCTAGCAAAATCAGAGGTTAGATCTTAGTCAAATAGTTAGACCCAATGTTTACTGGCCAGCTGTTACCCCCCAGATTTTAAAACAGTTTCGAGGGACTGTGAACATCTATAGTATTTCATTGCAGGGCCAGAAAGTAATAACAAGAGTAAGCTAATTTGCAACTTGCAAACTTGTGAAAGCCATTAAAGGCTAATAACAAGTCCTTTACTGCTAGGGGTTGCTCTCCCTCTCATTGCATGGCTCCCTGTTTCATTTGTTTTGAATTACCTGATGTGGGCAACATAGGAGAAATTATATATGACAACTTCAGATCCATGATTCTGAATATCAGCCTGTCCTAATCCCATGTAAAGCAGGAGCGAAGATATCTGTGGAAGGGGTGTGTGTGTGTGTGTGTGTGTGTGTGTGTGTGTGTCTGTCTGTCTCTCTGTCTGTCTGTCTGTCTGTCTTTTTCTGTGTGTCTGTGTGTCTGTGTGTGTCTGTGTCCTCCCTCCCTCTACTGCCAAGTTTATTGCCTGCAGAATATTTTCTGTGCTGTAGCCTTTCCTGGCATGTGTGTACATGATGGATAGAATTAGCAGAGGAGAGGGACCTCAGTTGACAAGGCAGCGGTCACAGGGAGTTTGTAGCTACCCTGATCCTTGCTCTCTAAACATGACACATTTTATACATGACTGGGGCAACCACATGGTCAAAGATAAGGTTTGTTCCCATCACAACTGGTCTGGCTAGTTTTGGTGCTTTGATTACACTTAGTGGAATTTCAACCATCCGTAGAATTTTTTTGTTTTGTTTTTGAAAAGAACCACTTCTTTTCAACTGAATAAATATATCAAGCTGTTGCGCCAAAACAGCAGTTACTAGAGAGGGACATTGGACCATGGAATCTCTCAGACTTCCCAGAATCCCCTAAGTCAGCCTATCCAGTTGCTCTGCTAGCAAGGAGAGGGTCTGGGAGTTGTAGGCCAAACAGTAATTGTTCCAAGCCGTACTCTGGGAGATACATTGCAAAAGGCCAGGTACAGAAATGATAACGGAAAGGGGCATGAGTCCTATCCTTGCAAGATCTTAGCAGTGCTGTTAAGGGCTGGATTGTCCAGAGATCAGCAACTTGGTGGACTTGATAGCACATATAACAGCAATTATCCTTGCTGTTCATAGATACAGTTGTTCCTATCAGCTACCATTTTATACAACACTTTAAAATATGTGAATATATGCTAAATGTTTTAAGATTATTATTGTGTAGTAAGTCACTTTAGTTCCAACTTTAGAAGTGACAAACTGAATCAGAAATGCAATCAATCAAAAGAAGAGCCTTCAGACTAAACAATGGCTGGGCAAGCTGTCTGCATATTAGGCTTCCTAGGCTCACTGAGTGAAACAGTTTGGTTCAGTAACATGAAATAATACACATCCTGGTCAGTCTTATTGGAAGTGCTATATTCTTCTGCAACCCAGAAGGCACCATTGTAGAGCAACTACAGCTTCTAAAGTAAACAGAACAATATTATTAATTGGCAAGTGTCAATTAAATGAATGTAAAAGAAATTCATTGTTTTGCTAGATGGAATGAATGTGAAAATAATCCCATTGGCTGGAATCCTACTGGTCAGTTTCACCAGTGTAAACACCATGGTGAAAACTACAGTAATGAATTGCTGCTCATTAGCAATTTGCTGCTTGTATCATTATTGTACACCAATATATGCGACTGCTGTGCAATGAAGAGTACAAACAGTGACTTATTAACTGGAGACAATTTGTCCCTGCAGTTTACACCACTGCAGTTATGCCCATGTAACTAACCAGCAGGATTCTGGCAACTATATCCCAATAATCCCACCATTCTCTGGAGAAAATAGGAATAATTCACAAACAATCAATCATACAATTACTATGGGATTGATTTACTTAGCTAGGAATCATTATGCATAAGGTGCAGTTAAGAAAATTAAACACCTCTAATTCTAAAATGCTAATTCAGACTATATATTTCCTGTTTTAACAGGTGGGTTTTTAGTACTTTAGCAAATATTGTCTTTTTATCTTTCCTGTTCTTAATTACACAACACTGAGGGCATTTTATTACAACATTAAAATGTAAAAAAAAATGGAAGAGACAAATATGTGTTGTTACCTTTCATATAAAAGATAATTATGCAATTACATACATAAGGTTATTTAAATAACTACTTATTATTCATAACCTATTCTCTATTTCAACTTCTTCAGAAAAGTTGTCTTGTGTAATAATCCAAGTGCTGTGCATCAGCAGATCATAAAATTATTACGGTAAAAGTTAATTAACCATAAAGTTATATGAGGTTTTGTAACACAGATGTAAAACAAATTAAAGCACTTTTTATTTCAACTTCACTTTTTCCCCAAACCAGTTAAGCTCATGTCAGTTCCCAAGTGGGTATGTTCTAACAGATGTAATATAGCCTTCATACATTTTGCATTAATAAGGAGTTCAAAGACAAATTCCGACATATAATATGAAATGAAATGAGTTTAAAAAAAAACATTTCCCAACCATAAATCTCCTTCATTCTCTGCAAATGACTGATTAGCTTTGCTAACACACCATTAATCTACATAGGCCTTCCTATAAAATGCTTTAGGGAATTTATAACTCTTTTTCATGTCTCTGCCAATCTGTGTCTATTCTTTCACCACAGGTGGTCCTGAGTTAGTATTAACAGAAATAACTCAAGCACAATGTCACATGCACAAAAGTGAAAAAGCAGTTCAGAAAAAGGCAACTGGAACCATTAGTAGAAAACAAAACTAAGGTCAGCTAATTATCCACTTCTGAACTCATTTGTTGGTTCTTAAAAACTATTATCCACTGGGCAGGCCTATCTGCAGTGCTGCACCAGCTGTGGGGCTATAAATGGCCTCTGTATACGTGGCAGAGACTTCAGTTGTGCAGTGAGGGTGACCACATCATAGCACTACTCGCTGAAATTCTGTTGCTTAGCATAACAAATCTCACTAGAATAGGGCTAATGAATCAAGAGGGACCTATACATTTCTTTGATTCACATGAACTACCCTAGTTGCCACTTGCTGTGCTGAACTAAGTTAAAACTAGAGATGGGCAAGAACCTCGATTCAGAGGTTCGTACCAGTTTGTATGCACAACACTACCAGTGCCATGTGTTCCCTTCCTCTATCTCCTCAGCTGTCTCCTCCACTCACCAGCCAGTGAATGCTCTTCGGCCGTTCGACCAGTCTCCAGCAGGAGTACGGGCTTCCTTGCCCTGCCTCCTTGGCCAATTGCCCACTCAGACAAGGAGGCGGGACAAGCAAACCCATGCTCCTGCCGGGGACAGGTTGAACAGCTGAGGAGGAAGAGAAGAGCACATTCCAGCTGCTGAGTGGGTCATTGGATGGGGAGGCAGGGGAAGGGAACATGCAGGACCCATGTTGCTGTACGTACGAACCAATATTAACCTCCAAATCAAGGTCCGTGCTCATCTCTAAGTTAAAACTAGAGCAGGTGTATTAGAATCAGTGAAGCTCATGGAGGAGTTGACTCACAAAATCCCCACAGATTCAGTGAGCCTATCCTAGTGTGACTTACTATGTTAAGCAACAGGATTTCAGCCATTGTGTCTCCCCATATCAGATCTTAGATTAGAAACATAGGGAACTTTGTATTGAATCAGGCTATTTGTCAACCTAACCAATATATCCACTGATGGAAAAAGCTTCAGGAGTTAACCTAGAGGCAAAATCCGGAGCTGGAGTCCCGAAGGCAGTTCGTGTCATTCTGCCAACTCCTGCGACATTGCTGGAACCAGTTGTATTGGCTCTTGCCTTTCCATTGGACCATTTCAGCAGCATGGAGAGGGGGAGTCTGCTGCTTGGGTAAGAGCCTATTCTCCATATTATTTTACCCAGGCTTCATGCTCTGGAGAGGACACTCCTCTATTCAGAGCATGTTACCATAATCTCTCAAGACTGAAGGATGCCTATGCAGAGAACCAATATTTGTCAACGTTGACTGGCAGTGGTTGTCCAGGGTTTCTGGAAGGATTCTTTTCTGGCCCTACTTAGTGATCTCCCATCTAATTATTAACCAGACTAATTAACTTCCAAACTCAGATCAGAGCAGGTGTGTTCAGGGTAGTATATGATCTCCATTAACTAAATGGAATTGACCTAACATTTAGTTCTGCTTTCTTAATTGCAATAACACAGAGAAATATCTGTAATATTTTGTTACTTACTTCTGGAAACGTGTGTCACCAGATAATTGTACATGTGTCATAGATCTTTGTCAAATGTTACAGCCACATGGTGACTATTAAGAAGAAACTGCATTTCCAAGTAACCATCTTAGAATCTTCACTATAAGAAAAGGCAGTCTAGTGAGGTCATTTTAAACCTACACAGAAATGTGAAAGAAGTCTTAATAAGATTAGTAGGAAGAAGCAATGCCATGCATTAAGTAACCAGCTAAAGAAATGGAGTGCATGCAAAGTGTGTAAGTCTTTGACAATAAAACAAGGCACTTCTTTATCTGAAACATGTCAATACACAGGTGCTGCTTGGAGCCACTTTATGTAGTGTTTGAAAGTTGTCAAGTGCAGACTTATGAAAATAGTAGTGCTGTCACTAAAAGGAATAATTTTGGTTCTTCCAATATTTATTTGAATACATTAATAAAAGAACATATTCATGCATGCACAAACACAATGCCTGTAGTGAAGAGAAGTGGATTTCCTTCTAGTATGACTTTCCTGTTTCAAATTTATTATATACACATACCTTTTTGCTTTCCACACATAGTTGGAGTTCTGGTTTGCTAAGGACAGGATACTGGCAATCATGTGGTTGCCATGTTATTTGTCTCCAGTTGCAGGTTCTGTTGTCAGAACAACTGAGACATGGCACAATCCATTGTCCTGAAAAACAAAATGTCATCCCATGTTAATTTCCCTTTTCCCCCCAATTATTTTGGCTGTTACTGAAGGGAAATGTGTATGAATAGGAGAGCTTCTTTCACTAAACCAGAGATGAACTTATGCCCAGAACCCAGAGGTGGTGCTTAGTGCAAAAAAATCAAATCTTCCTTCTTTCCGCCAGAGGAGTGAAAAGAACTGAGCAATAATAATGGACAAATATTGTAATAATAATGGATAATGTACCCCTTGGGAGAAGGTGACTTAAAAACAACTGCAGCTAAAGCAGGGTGGGCAATCTAAGCCTAATTTTGTCGCCTTGGGAGCCCTGCAGATCACACGCACACATTGCTGCCCCTGCCATTGTAAAAGCCACATAAAACACATTGGTTTAATGTGTTCTGCCTACTTTACCCCATCCCCTTCACACACAAACAGTAGGGGAAATGATATATATATATATATGGTGGGCCGAATCTGCACACAAAGGTAATTCACAGGCAAAGACTGTTAAGATTGCTGACTGATAGCCAACAGGCAAGTCCTTGACACAATAACACCTTTTCTTAAACATTTGCTGCTGCTGCTGCTGCTGCTGCTTCTTGGAATATCTGAGATAAAAAAGACCTTCTCCATAGAGTTCTGCACATCTTAAACTGCTACCAAGGAATGAGATGAGTATTTCAACAGTATTTAATACTATTATTAAAGGCTTTTTCACCAGTCTGTCACTCATATATGTGACTTTGTACCTCATCACCTTTTGCTTATGTATTCACTTGTGTAGGTCATGAAATCTTTATGAAGCTGAGAAAGTACTTCAGTAGCCTATGCATATTTACTTAAAAGTCAATGGAAATAACTCTGAGATAAAAGAGAACATAGGAATGATCTATGAATAATAAGAAATTTTCTATGAATAATAAACTGTTATTGGTAGCTATATTAAATTGTAATTATACACACATGAACACACATAATTCCTAATATTCTTTCCATGTCTTATGAATTTAGATAAATTTGTGATCAACTATTGATTGATGCCTGACCCTTTCCCCTTCATTTTTGGGCTCTCCATGGCAGACCTAAAGACCTTCCACAGGCATATATTTCTCAGAATGTAGAAACATATCTGGAACAAACCTTTCATGTCCCCCGTTTCACATGTTTTCAGCTGTTGCTGTGAAATCCTTGAGAGGTATTCAGCAGAGAGAGGTTGTAAACCACATGATTCCTTAGGAAGAATTATTGAGCCACAATCCTGAAATAAAATACTGTATTAAAATATGGCTAGTTAATAGACTTGGTAGCATCACATATGAAGTACTGTATACTGGACAACATGAGGATAAATTAAAAAGTGTTGAAAGGAATTATTTTCTGATTCTTCATGTCCAACATTCATTTGTCAGAGTTATGGGGCCCTGAAGCATAGCCAAGCTCTTAGTTAATTAAGTTCTTAGTTAATCTGTACCGTTATCATTTTATGACCACAAGAGAAAAGCCCAGCTTGTCCAACCACACAGTGAAAATACAGTTGCTAAGACAGAGACCCAACAGACCCTTTGTAACACAGCTGCAACCTTTCCTTTCAGTTTATTGAGTTCTTCTCAAGATGAATAAAGCATTTGTGCTACTTGATCTTTGGGTGTTTTTAAACTTCTGGTCTAGAATTACCCAAAACAAAAGGAATTTGTTTTATTGATCTCATATGAAGAAAGGATGATGATAATGATGGTGATGATACAGATGGTGGCAGTGGCCTTTTAGAGAGATGACAGCTGATCTCAGACATTTCACTCATATTCATCCTACCTGCTGGAGGGAACAGAGCTAAAAATAAATAAATCAACAGGTTGCAACAGAAATTCCACAAGCATTCTCTACTCCCACATCACTCTATGCAGAGTGTGCCTGTGCTCTTGCATTCATCTCCGGCATGTGGGCCCCTTATGGGGATTTGCTGACCACTGCGTACTTGCAGTGCTGGAATTGATGGGTCTTTACTGTGATCAGGCATGGTGCTGCCGGTGGTCTTGTGTTTTTTAATTCTTCTTCAGCATTATATGAAAAAGATAACATAATAAGTGCTGTGGGGTTCCATGACATTGTGGTAATGCACATACTTTATATGAAAAGACCCATGCTCAGAACCTAAGGTTACCATGTAGAGCTGGGAAAAAACAAGCAAAGCTAAGAAAGCATCCTGCCTGAACATGCAGCAATGCTGTCAGAAGGAGTTGACAACATTGGCCCATAATGACCAGCAGAGTGACTCGGGGGGGGAAAGCACCCTCCTATGTTCCATGATCTATATAGAAAACTCTTGTGTCATAAAATTATTAGGAGGAGCATAAGAAGTGTCTCTTAGAGTTCAAGCACCATTTGAACAGAACCACCAATCATCCCCTCAAAGGCTTCAATCATGTGGAATAACCATTTGCACAAGCCTTCACAGAGAAATTCCAAATTCCTGAACAAACCGCTACAGCTGTCGGCAAAGTGTCATAAGAAAACTAAACAGGCATTTTCTTGTTCATTTCTTGTCCATGTTGCAAGCATTTAGGTAATGTGGAATAATCTTTGCTTTCAACTGAATTATGGGCTGATTAGCAGCATATTTGTCAAGATGTCTTCAGTCTGAGAAGTTTGTAAAAAGTGGCAAATGAATTTTTTTTAGAAGGATATCTGTCTCCTGATCTTTTGGAGAGGATGAATGCAGGAAGAATGCAGTATGCAAAGGAGGAGGGCCAATCTGATGTGATCAAAGGCAGTTTTAATATTGTCTTTTAAAATGTATTGGCCAAAGGTCAAACGCATTTACTTTAGCTGTGCATAAGAAACCCCAAGGATTTTATTAAGAGCTTGTGGATTTGTCATGTTTCTTACAGGCACTTGCAGGGCTGGAACATTTCTAATGCTTCATACAAAGATGAAAGTTGATAAAAACTTACAAGTTGCCAAAATATGAGTTACTGTAAGGAGTTGGTGCAGTGGCAGTGAAGCCCCTGGAAGGGTAAGATTGCTGCTAATTAAATAACTCCTGTTCTCATTTCAGGCTTCATGGAGCTTCATTTTAATCATTCTCAACCAAAAAAGTGAAGCTGGAACTCTTTAATTGGTGCCAGTCTGCTGCTGGCGTTGGCATCTCTCCTCCTTCATGGAAGAGCTACAAAACATTCTGTAGCATTTTCCTCCTAGATAAGTCAGTGCAGAATTGTAGACTGAATTAATATATTACCAGTGGTTCTAACCAGAAACAATGGAGTTTTCCACAGTGTTCTCGATTGCCATAATTTATGTTATAACGCAGTTTGCATAGAGGGGTGTTATAGGAAATTCTAAAAGGAAGATAAATTATAAAACAGATGGCTCCAGTTATGGCAACTGATTTCAGCAAGAAATCAAATATTAGATACAATCCGAGTTACTTGCTATAACGGACTGAATACAGTTAACATATTTCCCTGTCTATATGAACCCATGATTTTCACCCATGCACTGAGAAAAACATATATCTATCTGTCAATGGCCAGGATACAATAAAGTCAATCCAGCAGCAAAATTAACACTGCAATTCCAGATACTCAGTTCCAAACTATGTACAAGAGGGAATCTAAAGCAGCTTCCAGTTGTGTCACCAGTTGTGCAGCTGGTTGTGCAAGCAGGAATTTCCCTTAGACTCATAAGAACAAGTGTATTGTCATTTGCACAGTCTGAAAAATATTTATTCTGCTAGAAACCCATTATACTGGATTTAGGCCTGCCTATCTGTCTGTCTTTCCTCTTTACAGCTGTATTAAAATTCAGTACTTAACAGCAACTTGAGCTGAATCTCTACAACATGTTTCTACAATCAGGGGTGGAAATCCTATTTATGCTGCACAGCCCAAATGATGTCATAATCCAGCAACAGAAATTTTTAATTTAATTTAAAATTCCTTCCCTTCCCCTTATGGTTCCAAGGCTCCCCAGGGATCTCTTTTGTCCTTGGGAAGCCTCTCAGAGCATTGGGACAGGGGCTCGGAGCCATTTGACAACAGCCAAACAGCAGAATGTCCCATGTGACATGACCTCTCTCATTCAACATTCAATTCCCTGATAAAACTCTGGATTGAAAGTCATGGTGAGCCACAGAGAAATACGGCATGCCTTAAAGGAGTGTAGTGATTGGATTCCCCAGACCACCTGATGGGCCAGATATATTTGGAGATTAGAATAACTGTATCTTTCTTTGTATTTACTCCATCATGACTATACAGACCTGCCTATAGGACAAAATGAAATTACCACCTGCAATTAATTATATTCTTCTCAAAAAGGGAGAAAGATCTAAATTCCTCCTGAAGTCCTTTCAGTGCTTTGTTTTGTCAGTCTGTGTCCATTTCATACATAACGGACGTATGATGAAAAGTGATTGCAATGCACAATGAAAAGGATACTAATAAAATTAGTCAAAATGAGCTCATAAAAAATGAAGTGGTATCTCATTGCAACAGGGTAAATTATGAGCAGATGCATTAGCTCCACTCCATCAAAATGTTTAATATAACAGAGCAAATGAAAAGCAAATGCCACCATAATTGGCATGGTGGTTTCTAGCCTATTCTTCCTGAATTAGGCTGTGCCTTGGGGTTTATCCAAATGATTAGTGTATCCGTGCCTCTCCCAGTTACAGTGGGTTTTCTATAATATCCTTGCAAAGCTCTACCCAAAAACAAGTCTATCAAAAAGAATGAGGCATTTTGGATTGTATTGCTCTCTGGTCTCTTTGGGGAGAGGAGGCCGAGAGCAGAAGAGATAATGCCCTTTACTACTGGAAAATATTAGGAAAAATCATCAGGGCAGGCCACCGTGGGGGAAGAGTGGCCCTCCAGACAGAGGACATACCATATCCAGCATTCTTCATTACGGGCTATGTCGGTGAGGGCTAATAGGAATCTTAGTCCATCAACACAGTATCCAGCCCCCCTCTAAGGAAATAAATCTGAATTCAAAAGTAACATAGTCATGAAATTGAAAGGCATTCCACACTATTCTCCATATGAGACTTCCTTGAGCATTCACAACCTTTCCATTATATTTTAATATTTTCACAAGATGCCTTTTATCACTGATGTTCATTAAAACTACCCAATCTGCAAGGATAAAGGAATGGAAGGCATGACTGAAAATCGAGCTAATATGTGGCAGGAAGCGGGGGTGGGGTTGTTACATGACTACTGCAAATCATAAAATGTGTTGTTTCGGTCAGGTCCTGCAGAGCCAGTTCTCTGGCTATTTGAATTATTCCTCTGGGTATGGAAGCATCTGGAAGACTTCCTTTGAACTAAATATGTTCTGACAAAAGTTGGAGAGGAAGCTAAGACAGAATCAGGTGTGCACACAATATTAGGCTGCTCTGAAGTTGTTCGCCCACACAATGCCACAGGCCCAATTAGTTCCTGCCCTTCATAGAAAAGTAAGGCTTACATATGTGTTGAGGGAGAAAGCTAATGAAAAGCATACTAGGCTCATTAGTCAACAGCAGGCATTTCTCTTTGTTCATGTTTACAGTCTACTCTCTAATATGCTTCAAGCAGATCTAAGCTAGAGTGCTTTGATGTCTTTCATTTTATTAATATCACGAGGGCCCCATATCAGCCACAATGCCTAAATATGAAACATTATGATGCACACTTCTCTATCCCATTTGACAAATTAACAAGGCACAGGACAATAGCTGGCTGATGAGATGAAAACTCTCACTTGGGCTACATAAAAAGGGGCCACCGCATCAAGATATTTCCAGACCACCTCATCAAGAGAGAACCCAGAAAGTCTCTATTCCATGCATTCCTAGAAGTGATATATAGTAGATATATAGGCCAAAGAGCCAAAGTAGAAGGCTTTCCAGGAACCTATAAGCTAGAGGGCCACAAATGCAGCTTTTAAAGGCACATTTGAGGCACATGTATGCTCCATGCTCCCCTTGCTCTTCTTATTTCACCTTTTCCCTTCCATCCTGCCTTCTCCCCTTTCCCCTTCCTTGCAAAGGTAGTAGCTTGTCTCTCCCCCCACATTTTTTTCCTCTTTTCTTTTTCCTTTGAACTGTATATGTATATTGTTTTATGAATTATTTTATGTAAGCCGCCCTGAGTAGACTTTGTCTAGAAGGTGCGGGATAAAAATCTAATAATAAATAAACAAATAAGTAAAACTTTAGGAAAGACAGGTTGCATTGCAGAGAAACTAACAGTTGCTTCCCTCACATGGGCCCAG